GGACGAGGTGCGGTGCCGCTGCCTTCTTTGCGGACTAGTATTAACTACGCAACGTCGTCGATCTTTTTTTTTTTTTTTTTGTCTCTTTTGGATGGACGGATGGATGAATCCGGCTGAGCCCTTTGGATCGGGTGGTAGCTCCACCTAACCATTTTGTTTTACCATTTAAGCTTAGAATATTTAAATCTGAAATCTATATTCACTCCGCACTGCAAAGAAAGTGGGGCTATAAAACCCCTTTGCCATCAGTTAATAAGAAAATACCTAGTTTTCCCTCGCTTTCTGCCACCATTCACTTAATCTTTGCTTGGTAATCTCTACAGTCTTGAAATCCACTCTCCCTTCACTGTCTTTAAAACCCAATGACTTTATTAAATCCATGTTGTCTTCGGTAGGCATAGGGTGAAGCCCTTTACAGTAGATTATCAAGTGCTCAGTCGTCTCGTCCTCCTCTCCACAAGCAGTGCACACTGTATCCATTTCCTGGTACCTCGCTATGTATGTTCTGGTTCGCAGAACACCCGTCCTCGCCTCAAACAACAATGAGCTTCCCCTAGAATTGTCATAAATGCTTTCTAGCTTTGGCAATAACTGTTTTGTTTAATCTATGGCTTCCCAGAGCCGTCTTTGTCTGCATTCCGTCTAGCCATCGATCTCTTTCTGTGGCCTTAACTTTCTTCTTAACTGAGACCTGCTCTTCCGTAACTCCACTATGGCCTAAAAACTTTCCTCTTAATTTCCTAGTGCGCTGTCTTCACTTTGTGTCTATACTCCTCATGTATAAATAGCTGAAAACCTTTCGTGCCCATTGCTCCCCATCCATTTGCCTCAACCTATCCTCAAATTCTATCTTGCTCACAGCTTCCTTGCCCTCAAATGACGCCCATCCCATGTCCCCTTGTACTCCCTGGTTTGGCGTTTTGCAATGTACCCCCAAAAGCCAGCCTACCTACTCCACGCTGTTTTATTTCTAGTCTTGCAGGCACATCGGATTTCATGCATAGCACTGCGTTTTCGAAAGTCAAGCCAGGCACCATGACCCCCTTTCCAAATCTCTCTCACCACCTCATACCTGTTGTGATTCCAAAGTGCTCTATTTTTCATTACAGCTGCATTTCTGTTGCGCTTACCTATTATATACTTTTTATGCGCACTTAGATATTCCGCACCATCACATATCCTTACTCCTAATGCTTGTATTTACTAGCTCTCTCAACTCTAATATTCTGTATCTTCAGCCTCTCAACTTCATCATCGTTAAAAATCATGACTGCTGATTTTTTTATACTGAATTCTAAACCTAATTCCTCTCCTTCCCTACCACAGATGCTCATTAATTCCTGCAACTCTGTCCTGTTGCTAGCCATTAGTACGATATCATCCCCATACAGCAATCCCGGCAAGGATTGGTGAATTTTTTGGCCTAGCTTACTGTACGAAAAGGTCGAATCCAAGCCCACTCCCCGTTGCCTTTCCTTCCCATGTTATGATCACCTTATTATCTTTGTAAATGTTCCTTAATATTGCTGTTAGTCCGGCATCTAGGTTTAAGCTCTCCACTATGTCCCACAGGTTCCTTTGGTTCACATTGTCATAGGCACGCTTGATATCCAGAAATGCCAGCCAGAGCTGTCTGTTTTATTTTTGCGCTATTTCTATACACTGTGAGAGAAAATATATTATCCTCCAACCTTCTTTGTTTCCGAAACCCGTTCTGTAACTGGCCCAGTATGCCCTCGCAATGTACCCATTCCTCCAGTATGTTCTTTATAATCTGCATTACCAACGTGTAAATCACTGGTGTCACGGTTATGGGACGATAATTCCTAATATCAGACTTATCTCCCTTTTCCTTATATATCATACTCATCCTACTAAGCCTCCATTCATCTGGAATATTTCCTTATGTTATCATAGTGCTCACTACCTCCCTTAGTTTTGCCTTAGATTTAGGACCCAAATTCTTCACCAGCTTGATTGGGATACCATCTATGCCTGTCGACGTGCCACTAGGGACTCTTCGTTCCGACTTTTCCCATTCTCTTTGTCCAAAATCCGCGATGTCACAAGCTGGACTGCTACTTCCTTCGGTTCTCCTATCTTCCACATGTACCCGTTCCCGAAATTTCTCCTCCATCACTGTTCCTATATGTCGTGTCGCATCATCTCCCCCTAATTAATCTCCCTGATGCGAGAGTATAAACCTGTGCCTAGCTTGCGTCGTTTCACCGAGTGAGTTCAAGTGCTCCCAAAACTTCTTGGCTGCGCTTGTATTTTTTTTTTTTTTTTTGCTTACATTACTCATCCATTCCTCACCCTTTCTCTGAATTTTCGCATTGATCAAACTGGATGCCTCTCGGCGACATGTTATAAAAGTGTCCCACTTTCTTTTTACTTCCGTTTCTGACACCCCACTACGCTTGGAATGCCTGTGTTCTCTAGAAGCTTCCTGGCGTTTTTGTATCGCTTGCTTCAATTCTTTGTCCCACCAGCTTTTTGGTGTATGTCCTTGCTTCCCCTTTTGTTTACTCCGAACTTTGTGTAGTTCCAGAGCAAAAAGCCTAGTTAGGCTCTCATAGGTCCAATCTAATAATAATAATAATAATAATAATAATGTTTATTTTTCCATCAAACAAATGATGGGAGGGAGACCAAGGAAAAAAGCTGCATCATGCAGCTTGACGCGTCCCCGGCCCCCTCTCACACAAACAGCAGTGGCACATGAAAAAATAAACAAGACAAAATGACATTCAAAAGTAATCGGGCGGCAATATTAACGTTTTTCGTAGTAACATGAAAATGGTACATGTATACATTTAGATATATGCACAGAAAACACAAAGTATTATACATTGCAAAGCTCTGGAAAGGTCTGCTAAAAAAACACACTGGAAAAAAATTCTCGAATATCTTTTCTCGATGACTCAATGGGATCAACATTTTCGGAGCTAAGAAAATTAACTAGGCTTGGAAGCGTATAAGATAACATTTGCTCAGCATAGGTCGTTCTAATATTGGGTAACTTCCAGTTTTGCAAACTTCCAGTGGGCTAAGTTGGTACTTTTGGAGCAAGAGAAGCCAGGTCAATCAGATTAACGTTATTTTTTTTGTACTTCAGACTTATAACACAGAGACAAACGATATTTATATATAATATTAACATTAATTAATTTTAAACTTTTAAATAAGGGTTCACTAGGGTGGTCGTATGGGACATTCGAAATGTTTCTTAGCATCCTTTTCTGGAACAAAAGTAGTTTATTTAAGTTTGTACTTCTACTATTACCCCAAACTAGGTGGCAGTAATTTATATGAGAGAAAAATAAGGAGTTATAAATTAAAAGTTTGACACTTGTTGGCAAAAGATGGCGGTGTCGATACATCAAGCCAACAACACGCGATAGTTTGAGCAAAATATAATTAACATGATCGTCCCATCGCATTTGATCCGTGAATACAACACCAAGAGTCTTAAAGCTAGTGAGGACTAGCTTTAAGAAAAAAACGTCTCAGTAAGCTTTTTTTTTTTTTTTTTTTCATTGTATTTATGAAGCAAAAAGGGGGAGCATATTTTGGCGCAATATTGTCGAAGCGACAAATGCGTTCGCCGCCGCTGCGTTGTCCCTCGGTTGATAGACGAGCGTTTCTCTGTGACGCTTCGCCATTCAAACGTCCCGTCGGAGTCTTGGCACGGCTACGCAGTAATTTTTACCCCTTTTTTGCGTCTACAAGTTACGGGTAGAATCGACGACTTCGAGGCGACGGCATTAAATACTAGTACAGATCAGAGCGAGAGAAAATGAACGGTGTCATTGGAGAAATTGGTAATCTGAGAAATTACAGTGGCCACTTTATAACGAAAAATTGAGAGGTCGTCTATCGCTTTGAAGACAAATTTGCATTCTATGCCTCTCGTTTTAGAATCATTTACAATCGAGGGAAATATGTTGTACATGCTGAAAGGAGTCACCGGACTTACACTCTGAAAGTTACGTCGCTTAATACGAAATAAAAGCTGTATGTAAAATCTACTAATGCTAAAAAGCTAATATGCTTTTTTTTTCTTTTCCTTTGTATGCGGTTTAAGTTTTGTTTTGCCAGCACAGCCGGGAACGTTCTTGACGCAGGAGAAATTCGGCATCTCTAAATGTTAAGGGTGTCTGTTCCATTACGTCCATGAGCTTCGGCCGCCGGGAAATCAACCTCCACGTTCCTAACAATGTGGCAATGACCCGCAGTCCATTGTTGTCGAATGTTAAGTCCGTGAAGTCGCGCTTGAGGTAACGTAAGTTGCACAGGATATGAAACCGTTGCCTGTGAGTTACGAGTACATTCCCAGCAATAATCGTAACGATGCCTCGTTAGATGTGTAACCACCATGGTCAACATTAATGAGGAAGCTATAGAAATATCGCGTGCAGTTCAACTGTCGCCGATAATGCCTCAATCGGATTTTTTTTTTTTTTTTTGAGATACGTACAACGATGGCATTGTTCGATCAAATGTTGACCCATCGGTGTATAGTTGAATACAGTTTTTTTACAATGCATCTACATATGAGAGTATCGTAATATTTGCAACAATGTCAGCTACCCAAGGTTGTGTCTGGAGACTCGGGGTCGAACACGGGATTATTCACAAGCCGAGAGGCCAATGCACGTCGTCGTGGGATGCGGCAGTGGGCAATGGGAAGCGGCAGAAATGATACTCGGTCCCCACGAATAGAGCAGATCACCCCCGAAGCCCGTTCCCCCTCAAGTGCCGCCTTTTTCCAAACGCGTTTCCGTGCTGCGTTGTATTTCGTGTAGTAAAATGTACATCCTACGCAAAATCTCGTGATTTAAGTTGTACCTGGGAGATTATTTTTTTTTGTGTGTGTGTGTTTGTGTGTGCATGTGACAAATTATTGGACTGGAGGCATGCTATGTGTTCGTACCTCATCTCACCCTTTGGTTGCATGCGCTCGGTGTACTCATCCGTTTCATTTCCCTTTCTCGCAGGTAAGACAACAGCGCTGGTGAGCCCCGGTTCGGTTGCAGGCCCCCGGTGAGTGTGCACGGTGCGCAGCGGCGTACACGTGCAAATCCTTTCGGGTTGTAGCCAACTGAATTGCCGTGGACCGAGCGGTGCCGACGTAATAGACCCTTTCCGAAATTCAGTCTGGCCACTTTAATTGTTATCATCATCTGTGGAAAGGCATCTGTGCCATACCAATGGCGGCCTTCTAGCGACTCATAAAGGAAGACGTTGAAGATGCTTATAAGCGGATGATGCGAGGCCTGTACATTCACGGGGTCAGTACGACACGACGTAGGAATGAAACACAAGAGCTACGTAAGCGTTTATTTCTAATAACTCAGATTCAGTCAATCTGCGGGCAGCACACAATTGGCTTTAAAGCATCTTTGTGTATAAAATTTTCCCGAGGCATCTGAGTGGGTTGGAGCTTTGTTCTGAATGCAGGCTTTTGGTTACCATCGAACTGAAAGTGATAGAGAAAGAACTCACACTGAAGAATTCCTCGCGTGCCGTTGACTTGCAAAAGTGACGGTGCCGATACAAGTTTCTTTCCGCCATTGATATGGCAAAAGCTAAACTGCTTTACGAACCACCAGATGGCACTGAATTTCAGAAAGGGTCTATTACGATAAG